ACGTATACGTAATTGATTATCGAATATTGGATTGATCAACCTCTAATCAACATCGACATCATCATACATCTTCGAACGAGTAGACTAAAACTTTACTATTCGTATACTCGTATACACTGATTCATCTTCACAATTCTTTTAAATATATATACAGTGTATAAATAATTTTTTTTCCCTTTTTTTTTTAGACCCTAGAAAGCATCATCAAGTAAAAAATGGATCGAATTACCTTCTTATTTTTTAAATATCCTTTTTATCATGGCTACAAGTACCTCTCGCAATCCTTAAAAATCTTGCTTTTTCAACTTTTCCTGTACCGGTCAACGAACCTTTCGCTAGGTATTCAATTACTGGCTCTGAACCTCATATTCGTCACCCTTCTGGGATCCAGCAAAGCCCAGTTTAAACTACTTTACCTAATTCTCAATCGCTATGCTAAGACAAATCCTGTTAAATGTCTGTCGCTTTCGCTAATGTCAATTTTTTATCTACTGCACGGGCACTGGACCAGTTCCTTTGTGCTTTTCACGGTTTTAACTTTCGATAGTATTTTGTCTTGTAAATTATTCCCAAATTTTTTCGCCTCGGTTTTTGAGAATTTCATCCTGAGCACCAATTTACTCTTTGCGTCACTCGAGTTGAAATTGACCGGATGGATTCTTTCGGCCATTTTTCCATCATGGTACATAATTCAGATTTTCAGCCTTCCAGTATATTATTATATATTTTGCTGCACAGTTATGGTGTTGTCCATATTAGAGAGGATTCGAAATAATGTGTTCTGCTTGGTAAAAATGGTTCGCAATAAAAAAATATGGGCATATAATGTGGAACAATTATTAAAGCAAGTAATAAATTCCAGTGTTCTTTCATCAATGCTCTCCGATTGTAGTCACACGGTAGGCGAGGGAGCAGTTTGTGAATCGTGCACCTTAACCGCTGAGGCTAGTAAAACCGGAACTCCTTGGTCGAGCGGGAATCCTGAGATTGACAGGATTATTTTAAATTCTCAATTGAAATCTCGATACATGTTCTCGCATGTAGAGTGGATTCCGTTCGAACATTTCAGAGAGATAAATAGGATTGGCCGAGGTGGATTTGGAAATGTATATTCTGCGTGGTGGATTGATGGGCCCATGTGTTTTTATGGGAATGAGAGGATTAGTAGGGGCCAAGTAGTTGCCATCAAGAGTCTTGGGAGAGAATTGACTCCCGATTTATTGCATAAGGTATGAACGCTGATTTTTTCGGGTTTCATGTAGTCCATTGATTTACGAACCCACTCTCACTCACTTACCGACACAAACTTGATGAAAATTAGCTTGAAACGTACATCAATATTTCAACATCGCAAACAAACTTACGCTATGAGCTACTGGGTTTGTTCCAATGTTATGGAATCACCCAGGACCCATCCACCAATGAATACTGTTTGGTGATGGACTATGCCAAGAACCA